CCTGCCAATTTGGATTCAGGAAAAATAAAAGCACTAACGATGCAATTATAAAAATGCTAGATCTGCTTTACACAGCATTGGAAAATAAGAAATATCCACTAGGAATTTTTATTGACCTTAGAAAAGCTTTTGACACAGTAGACCACGGCATCCTACTCCACAAACTTGACCATTATGGTATAAGAGGCCATGCGCTTGCATATTTCAAATCTTACCTTACTAATAGGTATCAGTATGTCACCATTAATGACACAGCATCAACAACACAGCCACTTGATACTGGAGTTCCGCAGGGAAGTGTCCTTGGTCCCCTGCTCTTCCTCATATACATCAATGATCTTCCAAACGTATCTCGACACCTGACACACGACGACACGACTTATGTCATCTCTCACCCTAATCTTGCAACCCTCAACACCATTGTTAATGAGGAGCTGATCAAAATATCGACTTGGATGACAGCCAATAAACTTACGCTTAACGTTGACAAAACCTACTACATTATGTTTGGTAGCAGAGCAGGAGATGCGCAAATTAACATTAAGATCGACAACACTCTAATATTATACCAGGCATAATGAGGGCAAATTCCTAGGCCTATACCTCGACAACAACCTGAACTTCAGCACCCATATCCAACACATAACCAAAAAAGTATCCAAAACGGTTGGGATCCTCTCCAAGAACGATACTACGTGCCGCAAACTGCCCTTCTCACACTATACCATTCACTTATATATCCATACCTCACCTATGCTCTCTGTGCTTGGGGTTCAACTGCAGCAACACACCTAAAGCCAATAATAACCCAACAAAAAGCCGCAGTAAGAATAGTCACTAAATCCCATCCCTGGCAACACCCCCCCCCACTCTTCATAGATCTAAACTTACTCCCTGTTCAGTACATCCACACTTACTACTGTGCAATCTACATCTACAGACCTTAAATTCCAATATTAACCTTGACCTAAAACGCTTTCTTGATAGTTGTGACAGAACCCACAGGCACAACACCAGACACAAACATCTCTATGACATTCCCCGTGTCCGACTAAACCTTTACAAAAATTCAATGTATGTCAAAGGCCCTAAAATCTGGAACACCCTACCTGAAAATTCCAAAACTGCATACACATTCATCACCTTCAAAACTACCATCAGAAAACATCTTATCTCCCTGATACACCCTGTCAACTAATAATACGAATACCACCTGGTGGTTCACACTTACACTCACTCACCCATTTGACCATAAACAGAAATATCAATCTCAATCTCAAAATAATGAATCTTAACTAGTCAAAAGTTGGCCTGTGATACTCCAATACTGAAACTATGTATAGTGCCAAAACAAAAGCATTCACATTGCTAAACTCACAACTAGTATTTAATCACTTAGCCATAATACCAACTTATCTCATAATTCTGTAACATTTTAAACCTAAGATTTAATATAAGTCTGCCCGAAATGCCTAGCCATGCTAGGCGTTCTAGTGGTACACTCTGTAATTATTATTTTACTACATGTAAACCACACAATAACCAAATTCTGTAAACTCAGCATTGTAATACTTATAGAGAATAAAGTTTGAATTTGAATTTGAATTTGTGAAGCAGATAGACAGACTGAAGCAAAATAAGTCGCCGGGTCCTGATGAGGTTTTTTCAAGGGTTCTTAAGGAATGCAAAATGGAACTCTGTGAACCATTAACTAATATTTTTAATTTATCTCTTCAAACAGGTGTAGTGTCTGATATGTGGAAGATGGCTAATGTAATTCCTATTTTTAAAACAGGGGACAAGTCGTTACCGTCAAATTACCGCCCAATAAGCCTGACCTCAATTGTAGGCAAATTACTAGAGTCAATTATAGCTCAGATTATAAGAAGCCATCTCGATAAGCATAGCTTGATTAATGATACTCAGCATGGATTCACAAGAGGCCGGTCTTGTCTAACTAATTTATTAACTTTCTTCAGTAAAGCTTTTGAGGCTGTTGACCACGATAAAGAATTTGATATTATTTACTTAGATTTTAGTAAGGCTTTTGACAGAGTTCCGCACCATAGACTGTTAAAGAAAGTGGCAGCTCATGGCATTGGGGGAAAAGTGCTCTCGTGGATCGAGTCATGGCTCACTGACAGGAAGCAAAGAGTGTCCATAAATGGGGTTAAATCCGAGTGGGGATCTGTAACAAGTGGCGTTCCACAGGGATCAGTCTTGGGCCCGTTGTTGTTTATAATATATATCAATGATCTTGATGAGGGAATTACTAGTGATATGAGCAAATTCGCCGATGACACAAAGATAGGTAGGATAATTGATTCAAACGTAGATGTTATGGAACTTCAGGAGGATTTAAACAAACTATTCTTGGTCAGAAAAGTGGCAGATGCAGTTCAATGTAGATAAATGCAAGGTTCTGAAGCTTGGGAGTGCCCATAACCCTAGTACTTATAAGTTAAATGATGTAGAACTTAGCCATACAGATTGCGAAAAGGACTTGGGGGTTATGGTGAGCAGCAACCTTAAACAAAGACAGCAATGCCTAAGCGTACGTAATAAGGCAAATAGATTACTGGGATTTATATTAAGAAGTGTAAGCAACAGAAGTCCAGAGGTCATACTGCAGCTTTATACATCATTAGTAAGGCCTCACCTAGATTATGCAGCTCAGTTCTGGTCTCCATATTACAGAATGGACATAAATTCGTTAGAAAACATTCAGCGTAGGATGACTAAATTAATACATAGCATTAGAAATCTTCCTTATGAAGAAAGATTGAAGACTCTTAAGTTACATTCACTTGTTAGACGAAGAATGAGGGGAGACCTGATCGAAGTGTATAAGTGGAAGATAGGTATTAATAAAGGGGATATTAATAAGGTCTTGAGGATGTCTCTCCAAGAGAGAACCCGCAGTAATGGATTTAAATTAGATAAGTTTAGATTTAGAAAGGACATAGGAAAGTATTGGTTTGGAAATAGGGTAGTTGATGAGTGGAACAGTCTACCTAGTTGGGTTATTGAGGCTGGAACTTTGGTAGTTTCAAATTTAGGTTGGATAAGTACATTAGTGGGAGGGGTTGGATTTGAGTGGGACTTTCACATCAGAGCTTATTTCTTGGGTGGCATTGAAAATTGGGTTGGGCAAATGTTTTGTTAGTGGGATAAATTGTAAAGGACCTGCCTAGTATGGGCCAACAGGCCTGCTGCAGTGTTCCTCCTTTCTTATGTTCTTATGTATAATTCTACGGGTTTAGCGCTTTCCTCTTGATTATAATAATGTAGGAGAGAGGGAGATTATTTTCCAGTAAAAGTAGGCCTTGTGTGAACATGTTAGATAAGCGTGGCGACAAGTGGGCTTTTATGATTTGTCGTGCTGTAGGAGTGTGAGCAAGGCAACAGTTGTGAAGGGATTCAAGAAAAGGCGGTTAACCAGCCTTGAGTCTTGGAGGTGGGTGAGGATGTTACAGTTAGGAGGGTCATCTGAACTAATGTCAGCACACTTCTGACAAGAAAGTGACTGAATGACAGTAAAAGTGTTTTCTTCCTCGGGTCACCCTACCTCGGTGGGAGATGGCCGAAGTTTAAAAAATAAGTAGTTGCAGCAGTGACAACAGATATAAAGCAACCTATAACAGTTCCAACAGAGATAACAATTATAGCATCAGCCCCAACAGATTTCAATATGTCTCGTGGACATCTGTGTACAAATATAAATCTTTATTTGATATAGACAGTTACTGAGGTAAGAAATATTCAGCGTCTAATGTAATGTTAAAGTGTAGATACAACACTAGCTATTTCAGTCCATTATATACTGGAAACACAGATGTTTATATTGGTGTTTAGGTCCCATGTAACTGTGATGTTGCAGGAAGGAGGCGTGTATTGTTGCACTGTCCCCTCACGAAGGTTCCTTGACGCTAGTGAGGGGATCTTGATCTAGGGAATTGGATCTGTGCTCCAGTTCCCTGAATTGAGCCTGAATACCTTCCATCCCCCCCCCCCAGGCGCTGTATAATCCTAGGGGTTTAGTGTTTCCCCTTGATTATAATAATTGGTGTACTGTGTTTCTCTGAAGGAGGCGTGTATTGGTGTACTGTGTTTCTCTGAAGGAGGCGTGTATTGGTGTACTGTGTTTCTCTGAAGGTGGCGTGTATTGATGTACTGTGTTTCTCTGAAGGAGGCGTGTATTGGTGTACTGTGTTTCTCTGAAGGTGGCGTGTATTGGTGTACTGTGTTTCTCTGAAGGTGGCGTGTATTGCTGTACTGTGTTTCTCTGGAGGCGTGTATTGCTGTACTGTGTTTCTCTGAAGGTGGCGTGTATTGGTGCACTGTGTTTCTCTGAAGGAGGCGTGTATTGCTGTACTGTGTTACCATGAAGGAGGCGTGTGTTGCTTTTCTGGGTGTTTCCATGAAGGAGGCGTGTGTTGCTTTAGTGGGTGTGTTTCCATGAAGGAGGCGTGTTACTTTACTGGGTGTGTTTCCATGAAGGAGGCGTGTTACTTTACTGGGTGTGTTTCCATGAAGGAGGCGTGTGTTGCTTTACTGGGTGTGTTTCCATGAAGGAGGCGTGTGTTGCTTTACTGGGTGTGTTTCCATGAAGGAGGCGTGTGTTGCTTTACTGGGTGTGTTTCCATGAAGGAGGCGTGTGTTGCTTTACTGGGTGTGTTTCCCTGCATCTATTGAGGATTTTATTGATCTGTGACGTCACTGTCTGGATCATGAGTGGCGGGGATGACATCATCTATGACGTCGCGTCTTGTATGTTGCTCAGATGCCAACTCCTCTTTAAAACCTACTTGTTCGTACACTCACATGTTTATTACTAAAAACACATGTGTATCTTAGCTTTGCATACCCTTGACTAGATACGCTGATGCACAGAGCGTGTCGAAATGTATTAGAGTGGCAATAAATGATAATAAATAGCGTGTGTGGTAGGTATGAGTGAGATGATGGTGTGTGTGAGTGGACCAATGAGCGCCAGTTGTCTCTGAGGTGTCGGGAGGTGTGTGTGTTGTTGTCCTCCTCTCTTGAGGTACATCTGTGATTGACTGTGATTTAGTATTCCCTCCCACAAGTACTGGATACACATAGTGGCGGCGAGGGTGTAGGGTGTACCGGAGCAGCCAAGGATGAGGTAGGCTGCCTGGTGGTGGTGCCAGCAACATGTATGAGGTTCCTTGTTAAGGCTACACCAACGTTTGCAACAACGCTACACAACGTACATATATTTCAAAAATTTTCGGCGGTGATGTCTGCCAGCAGGGCAGAGTACACGTGGGTGACGTGAGCAGGAGTACCATCATGTCCTCAGTGGCGTATATGTCAGGGAAAGAGAGATAGAAGAGGTGAACGACCCTGCTAGTCGTCAGGACAGGGTCTCCCTGACTGTCCATTCTATCTACCTATACACTTCACACCTGCCTCCACTACACACCTGGCTGCAGCCAGGTGGTCATAGTACCATCTGCTGGGTTCTGGCTTTATAACGATGCCACAAAGGCATATTTTGCAGGTGGAAATGTGTGCCGTTGGTTACCCTTAATTGTGGGACTGTCCCCCCCCCCTCCTGTCCCAGCCTGGTGTGTAAGATGACAGAACCAGCAAGTGGATGTGATGGCTTCCTGATAAACACCTGGCCTATCTTTCTGATAGACTGCTAGACTGGCTGTCAGAGAGTCAGCTGGCACTGGGGCCTGATAGCTGGTCTATGACTGCTGACCTGACTGCCAGACACATCTGGCTTGTCTGCCTGATAGACAGCTGGACTGGTTGCCTGATAAATCAGTTTCCACGAAATAACTGGAGAATCTCTTCAGTTCAGCTCTAAACCTCAAACGCCGGTGTATCCTACTTGAAAAAGTTGGATTGATTTTGGCTTGAATAGGCTCCAAATTGTGATTTTTCATGAAATTGGGAGAAATGAAAATGTGGGTTTCCATGTGATAATCTGCGAATGTCTTTCTTACTCTATTACTTTCAAAACTTGAGTGTGGAAAACTTGACACTGCAACTTATGAACACCTTCAGACTTTAAGTGCTGGTATGTTCAGTGATATTGAACTCTGTCAGATGACAAGGTAACGTCTTTTTAGATTGGCTTTAAACTTTCAAAGCTAATGTTTCTTAGTGAAAGATTTGAATTAGTTTTGGACTGTGTAGATCCGTTTTTGTCATTTTCACTAAAGAAATTGAGGTATTAGTTAAAATTCAGTTCACTGTATTCGTAAAAAGTCTTCAAATCTATAATGACATTAGAAACTTATGCCACACTGCACTATTCCAGTCGCATGCATTGGAGTGCCTAGGTTATGCAGTATTGTTGGATCGCACAGCGACCGAAATAGATATAGTTAGCATACAGGCCAGATGGCTGGTAGACAGCTGACCTGGCTGCTGGATAGACGGACCAGATGGCTGATACACGGCAGCAACAGTCTTGAAGTACAGGGAAGACAACTTTTATTGGGGAATGTTTTTCTGAACGAGATATGGCTTGGTGTGGTGTTGGTATGTGTGACGTTATCTAGAAGCTTTTTAATGTATTATATATTGATATGCGCTTTAACATGTCAGCCTCTTTCTATCAAACCAAAGAAAGTTGTCTTTCCACAAGAGCACATCTCGAAAGTTGGAGCCTGGCTAGAGTTTACCTGGAGAGGGTTTCGGGGATCAACGCCCCCGCGGCCCGGTCTGAGATCAGGTCTCGGTGGATCAGGCTCTGATCAACCAGGCTGTTACTGCTGGCCGCATGCAAGCTGACGTACGAACCCCAGCCCGGTTGGTCAGGTACTGACAGCCAGGGGTCTATTGGTAATCCCCTTTATGTATGCTGGGAGGCAATTGAACAGTCTTGGTCCCCGGACACTTACTGTGTTGTCTCTGTGTACTTGTGGCGGCCCTGCTTTTCATCGGGGGAATGTTGCATCTCCTGCCGAGTCTTTTGCTTTCATATGGAGTGATTTTCGTGTGCAGGTTTGGTACCAATCCCTCCAGGACCTTCCAAGTGTATATTATCATGTATCTCGCCTGCGTTCGAGGGAATACAGATCAAGGACCTTCAGCCGTTCCCAGTAGTTTAAGTACCTTATCGCACTTGTGTGTGTGTCGTGAAAGTTCTTTGTACACTCTCCAGGTCTGCAATGTCGCCAGCCTTGAAGGGGGCCGTTAGTGTACAGCAGTATTCCTGCCTAGAGAGCACAAGCGATTTGAAGAGAATCATCATGGGTTTGGCGTCCCTAGTTTTGAAGGTTCTCATTATCCATCCTATCATTTTCCTAGCGGATGAGGTAGATACATTGTTGTGGTCTTTGAAGGCGAGATCCTCTGACATTATCACTCCAAGGTCCTTCACATTACTTTTCCGCTCTATTGTATGGTTAGAATGTGTGGTATACCCTGACATTTTTAATTTCTTCAAGTTTTCCATATCTGAGTAGTTGAAATTTCTCCTCGTTGAACTTCATATCGTTTTGAGTAGCCCATTCGAAGACTTGATTGATGTCCGCTTGGAATCTCGCGGTTTCTTTGATGGAGGTCACTGCTGTGGTGATCCGGGTGTCATCCGCAAAGGAAGACACGGAGCTATGACTTACATCTCTGTCTATGTCAGAAATGAGGATGAAGAATAGAATGGGAGCGAGTACTGTGCCTTGTGGAACAGCTTTTTACCGTAGCTGCCTGGGACTTTGTTTACTATTACTCTTTGTGTTCTATTTGTCAGGAAGTTGTAGATCCCTCTACCAACTTTTCCCGTTATTCCTTAATCCTGCATTTTGTATGCTATTACACCATGGTCACACTTGTCGAAAGCTTTTGCAAAGTCTGTGTATGCTACATCTGTATTTTGTTTATCCTCTACAGCATCCAGGACCTTGTCATAGTGGTCCAGTAGCTGGGACAGGCAGGAGCGACCTGCTCTAAACCCGTGTTGCCCTGGGTTGTGTAATTGATGGGTATCTAGATGGATGGCTATCTTGCGTCTTAGAACCCTCTTAGAGATTTTTATGATATGGGATGTTAGTGCTATCGGTCTGTAGTTCTTTACAATTGCTTTACTGCCACCTTTGTGGAGTGGGGATATGTCTGTTGTTTTTAGTGTGTGTGTGGGATGACCCCTGTGTCCATGCTCCATAAAATGCTGAAGGCACGCGATAGGGACTTCTTGCAATTATTGATGAACACGGAGTTCCACGAGTCTGGGCCTGGGGCAGAGTGCATGGGCATGTCATTAATTGCCTCTTCAGAGTCTTGTGGAGTTAGAATAATATCCGAGATTTTTGAGATGACCAAATTTTGAGTTTCGTTCATAAAGAATTCATTTAGATTGTCGACCCTAAGAGTGGGCAGTGGCTCGCTGAACACTGATTCATATTGGGACTTTAGTATCTCGCTCATTTCTTGGCTATCATCTGTGTATGTCCCATCCCGCCTAAGCAGGGGCCCAATACTGGATGTTGTTTTTTCCTTAGATTTGGCATAAGAGAAGAAGCATTTTTATTTTCCTATTTCCTTTATGGCTTTTAGTTCTTCCTGTGATTCTTGTATCCTATAAGATTCCTTCAGCTTAAGTTCAATATTTGTAATTTCATTGGCTAGTGCTTCCCTTCGTATTTCAGATATATTGACCCCACTCAGCAGCTCTGTAACTTCACCTTCATCTGTATAGGGAACGTCTCTCTCTCTAGTTTACATCTTTTCTTTCTTAATGGAATGTGTCTTGAGCAGATCTCAAGAACCACAGAATTCATTTTTTCAATTTTCACTTTTTCCTTTAATAGATGTTATCTTGATTACACTGCAACCATTCATTGAACGTCAGCAACCCCTATTGCTTTTTTGGTATATACATTTTACACCACCACCTTATTCAGATTTCTCCAATCCTTATTGTCTGCATAATATTCACAGCAATGCATTTCAAACATGACATTTCCTTTGCCTTCGGTCGCCTCCTTCTTGCAAAGTCCAAAGACCCTGCCATGCATGTCTTGTACTCGTATAAGAAGTGTTGGTACACTGCCATTGTACATTTCTCATTTTGCGTCCACTGACCATTTTCTTTCATATCCCGAGATACTCTGTTTTCCTTCGCCTATTCTGTGATCCATCTTATGTTTCACATATTCATCTGCCGACACATCCACTCCTAAGTATCTAAAAACAAACCATGAAGATACATGGGTTGGCAGATATTGTATTAACAATGTTTTACAATAATTTGCATAGAAAAGCCCCTGGTTATGCAATGCTTTTCGGGCATATCCTCTTTACTCCTCTCCATCTCTCACCTCCTAGACCTCTTACTCTCATTATGTTGCTCTTATCTGTGTTCACCTACTTTTTTTTTTTACACCAACAATTTCATTCACCCGCAATCTATGAACTTCCCAAAAGATTTGGTAGATGGATCTATAACTTCCTGACAAATAGAACACAAAGAGTAATAGTAAACAGAGTAAAGTCCCAGGCAGCCACGGTAAAAAGTTCTGTTCCACAAGGCACAGTAGTCGCTCCCATTCTATTCCTCATCCTCATTTCTGACATAGAGATGTAAGTCATAGCTTCATGTCTTCCTTTGCGGATGACACCCGGATTACCATGGCAGTGACTTCCATCGAAGACACCGCGAGACTCCAAGCGGACATCAACCAAATCTTCGAATGGGCCTCTCAAAACAATATGAAGTTCAACGAGGAGAAATTTCAACTACTCAGATTTGGGAAACTTGAGGAAATTAAAAATGTATTAGGGTATAGGACAAATTCTAACCATACAATAGAGCGGAAAAGTAATGTGAAGGACCTGGGAGTGATAATGCCAGAGGATCTCTACCTCATCTGCTAGGAAAATGATAGGATGGATAACGAGAACCTTCAAAATTAGGGACGCCAAGCCCATGATGATTCTCTTCAAATCGCTTGTGCTCTCTAGGCTGGAATACTGCTGTACACTAACGGTCCCCTTCAAGGCTGGCGACATTGCAGGCCTGGAGAGTGTACAAGAACTTTCACGGCACATATAAGACGATAAGGTACCTAAATTACTGGGAACGGTTGAAGGTCCTTGATCGGTATTCCCTCGAATGCAGGCGAAAGAGATACATGATAATACACACTTGGAAAGTCCTGGAGGGAT